GGTGGCATCCTGGGGGTGGTAGTGTACCTTAGTGCTGGGCTTTGAAATGAGCTGAGGTAGAATAGCAGCTCTCGGCCTGTAAAACTGATTTGTGTGTAAGAAAAAAAGCTGGCGAATCTTAATGGAAAATTCGATTTGATTATTTGTTCTATAGAAGCAAATTTCCCACCTGAATTAGGGAAATTAAGACGTTAGTTTCCATGCGGTAACGTGAAAATTCTTCTGACTGGCGTTAAATCTTCACCGCATTAGAAACTTTTGCCACACACTGCACTATTCCTTTAGAGTGAATTGAGGTAAAAGGATGATGGGCTTATGGGATAGGGAGACGCCTTTCACGAGTTTCGCAGCGACAAAAACACAGGTACGTATTATTAAAACGAGGGAGAGACTAGCAATGATTAGATATTAAGGACCGCAGATGTACTCTTGATCCAAGGAATTGAAACTGACATTCTCTTCCTTGGATCGAACCTGATAACCTATTCCCGAGGCGCTGTATAACTTTTACAGATTTAACTTTGGTTTTCCCAATCTATCATGTTCTCCTATCGTACACTCGTCCATGTTTACTGTGATCTTATTGCACAATATAAAATATATATATATATATATATATATATATATATATATATATATATATATATATATATATATATGAGACTATTGGGGAAATATTGAGAGTTAGATGGAGGATACAGTTAGGAAGTTCGATACCATCATGTCAGGTAATGGGAACAACCCCATTATCTGCTGGAGGTAATGATGTTGGGCAGCGTAGGAGTGAAAAGCTACTTGTCGAGTACAGCACGGATGTAAACTTAATTGGGTCGACGGGAGGGGCCCCGGTCATATGCAACATTTTTGCCAAGAGGAGTGGGCGGTGAAAGGACGTGCAGGGCAATTAGTATAAATTGCTACCTGGACAAGTGTTGTAACTAGAGAACAATACAATTGCCAAATAAATGAGGCAGATTTTTTATGACAAACATGACATACATGCAAGAAATTGGCTGCATTTTTCATAGGTTGGGGTGGCAGTGCTGGCCAGTCTCTTGTATCGATGATGGATTTTTGAGGCTGTTGTTAATGTATTTGTCGGGGGGAAAACGACTGACTTGAGTCGTAATATGACCCGATCAGTGGCGCAATAGGATCCTGAAAACTGTGTCGTAGCTTACGTAGTTGTGTCCTTGGCTCAAGATCACTGATTCTGTGAGTGATAGAGTAGGTGGTTCACTGTACCACTAGTGTGTAACTGCTAAGACATGTGTATCTCTACTCGATAACAATACACTAACATTTTCCTAGCGAGTGTGGGAGTTGTTCGTTGAAGTCAATGCGCTTTTAGTATGGCAATGTTAGAGGTGTGGATATTAGTGGGGAAAGAAATTAATGAAAATAAACTATACACAAGAAAAACACAATCACACTACGATAAAACATTTAGAAATGAGCAAAGAATTTCGTAAGGTACTTACTAAAAACCTAAAGGAAGCCATTTAAAAAATAAGGAAATTTGAAATGCGAGAGAAACGAGTGAAGACTATTCAGAAAGCCAGAATGAAAAAAAAATATAAACAAATGTATATAGAGGATACACAATTTCAGTAACAGAAAAACAGGATCCAGCTGGGTGACATTCTACGTCAGGAAGAACATTTTACTCCAGGAGGAGCTTTTTTTTTTTTTTTTTTTTTTTTTTTTTATTACCTTTATACGCTAATGAATTTAAAAGGATATGGAGCATAGCAAGGATGTTATACAATACCCCTGGATTGCTTGTTATTTAATGGATCCTTGTGAGGATTTGGTGACGTTAGACCTTCGTTCTCCCTCACCTGTACTGCAGGTTTCACCCTTCGGAGATCCCGCCCGTGTCGCCGTTACTTGGGGAATTCCGGAATAGTGTTGACAAAGAAGCAGGAAGAGTGACGGCGAAACAGTGATGGGGAAACAGTAACAGGAAACAAAATGACGGGGAAACAGTGATGGGAAAAAGGAAGAGTGACGGGGAAATAGGAAGAAGAAGAATGATGAGAAAGGAGGAAGTGGAGGGCGGGTTTAGTCTCATCATTTCCAGGAAGGAGAATGTGGGTGTAATGAGTCACTTGTGCGAGTCTTAAGCCGCTGCCAAGTGTGGCAGAGGAGTGACCAGAGAACCAACCAGTTTAGAGTGACGAGAGAATTACTGCTGCCATCATGTTCGCTGTGACAATTACACTGTGCGAACACCCGCATATTTAATATTATAGCAACACTTTGGGAACAAAAGTTAGCTATGTTTCCCTGTCATTTTCAATCACACAGGATGGGTTACATACGTGATGGCATGAAATGTGGGAGACTACAGCAGGACGTTGAGGATATCAAGCAGTCCAATATAGGTTCAGCATCTCCGACAGTTTCATTACTTTCCATCAGGCAGAGCTGAGTTACTAATACGTTGGGATAACCATCTTCCAGAATGGTCTTTCGGGATTTTCCAACTTTTGGAAGTCCCACAACGTTTTTGTTAAATTACTAAAACCTTATCTCGGGAATAAAAAAAAAAAACATTAGCATGGAACCTGACAACACATTTCTTTAAAAAAACATTTTTAATCTCGGCAAAAATATTTGTTCAAACGAACGACATTTTGAAATTAGTAACCAGGCAATTTCTGAACTAAATGCTGTGCATTTAGATCAGAAAATGCACGACTTTGACGTTTTTACATTGCATTTTATTCTGTAACTTGTATGAAGCAAAGAGAATTAAATCTATGACTACTGATAACTAATCTGATAATCCAGAAAGCGAGCTGTTTGTTCTTCAGCTGTTGTGTATATGATAAATGTTCCTGTTTTTGTGACTGCGTGAAGACACTACTACTACTATACAGCTCTTAATCCTGGATATTTCATATATATTGAAATGTTAAAGATTCCTTGGTAACCACAACCATTTTTCTAATTTCTATCCTTGACTCGTAAGCCTAGATTACAAACAACAGTCTTCAGTCTAGGCAGAAGCAAATAATTTTCTCTAGCACATAATTCTTCTTAGCAGATAGTTCTTCTCAGCAGATAGTCTCGGTGTGGACTTCCAAATCCTCAGCAATCTGTCTGTCCCATGTACTCCAATGTATCGTGTCAGTCAGTTTTTCCTTAAAAAACAAATAGAAGGAAGATGGTGAAATAATTTCTCTTCTTTCCTTTACTTATGCAAGATCTCACGCAACGCCAACTAACTTCAGAGTATTCCAGTTTAGAAACCCTTGGTGTAAGCTTACTAGCTACACGTACCAAAAAAGGTCAAGCTCCCTAGGATAAACAAGAAAGTTTCCCGTTAATGGCAGTTATTGAAAGTTCTAATCGGATTATTGTATGTGACGATATGACGAATGGGGGTCCTAGATAAGCCATCCCATTGCTCTAATTTCAATAAAAAAATGGGCAGTAGGGAGGGAGGGATAAGGAATAGGTTGGAGAAACGGGTGCAGGAAGGAGGGAGGAATGTACGTGGGAAGGACAGGTTGAAGGAAGGGATAGAGGGATGAAGAGGTGACAGGAAGAAATACAGAAGAGGAAAATAAGGTATGGGGAGACGGGAGGAAACATGAGTCAACGGAAGGAAGTAGTGAGGGAATGAGTCAAAGGAGGGATGAATCAAGAGATGAGTCAATAGAGATGTAACGCCCTCACACGCCCCCGTGTATACGCCCACACAGAGGCGATGAGAGAACATCCAACTCATCATCAGCGAATAACCCCTTGATTACACCAACCTAATTGCTTCTGAATGGAATACAGTACCGACAAGACGAAGAATTAAACGCATATGCAACATTTTGTAGAAACATCTTGTAGGTGTTTTGCCATCCACTGGCTGTATCAATACAAGGACACAATGTGAAGAACGTAGAATTATATATAAAAGATGAGGTGATCAGTCCCTCAGTTTTGGAACTGGTGAAGAGCACTGTAGTCTTCAAGACTACAGTGCTCTTCAGGACTACGTAGTCTTCAAGCCTATTGATAAAGCCACTGGATGGCAAACACTTACAAATAGAGACACCCAGATGCTGCTCATGTGTCTAATTCTTCTTGATTTCTCTTTTCTTTCCAGTTCTCTGAACCAATAATAGCAAAAGCTCTGACTAAAAGACGTAAATACTCTGGCAATACCGAAAAGACGTAGAGAAAGACGTTCATGCATAGTTCAAGAAATCTTATAAAGGAAACGTTTCGCCGTGAGTGACTTCGGTGAGAGCGACTCTTGTTACCTTTACTGCGGTGAGGAATATTCTCGCAGGTGTTCACTTGTGAGAATATTCAGCTCGGCTTTTGTTACGACAGTTAAGAAATATCTTTGGTGGCCGTTTTATTTCCAATGATTAATTTATTATTTTTATATTATTATGACTTAGGTACCATATTTTTTTTATATTACCTTCCCCTTGATAATTACATCATGGAACTACCATGAATACCGATAAACGAGTTACACAGGCAGGTTATCCCAACAGACCTCCAATTCACCAACCAGGTCACTAACCTCCTCTAACTTCCCAAGGTCATTCCCAGGTCACACTAGCAGAATAATGAACTCTTCAATCATTTTCACACACTAAATTCACCACTGTTTATCACAGTGAACCTCTCATTGTATCCTAATGATGACTCCGTCTCTCATTCCTCGTCCCACCAACAACTCAGTACACCCCAACAAATCACTAACTACATTTCACATTCCTCAGGTTACTCTAGGCGATATCTAACTCCACCTATTGAATTTATGAAGGAACTCCTGCATGTGGTGTCAGAGAGTATAGAATAAAAACGATTCCAAATAAACCGGGTGACCAGAACAGTGCTTCGAGGACTGCCCATGGCCATCCCAAAATGCTTCATCCATCAGATTACTCCACCGGAGTAATTAACTCCTCATTATATCCCCCTAGACTCATAGATTAACCCACCTGGTAACTAACGCAAAGTTTCTATCTCTTCTACAGACATCCGGCTACACGCCTCTGATGTACGCAGCCAGAGAGAACAAGCCGGCTTTCGTGGATCGACTGATCGACCTCGGCTGTAACCCTAATGATAAAAATAAGGTCAGTACTGTAAACAAGATCAAGTTTAGTGTTGAAAGTGAGTTAGTGTTGCAAAACATTAATGATCAAGCGACAGTTAAGATCCGAACTACCCCAAAATTAGATCAGCAACAGATGTAAGGTGTGTAATTGGTAAAGATGTCGGTAAAAAAAACTCGCAAACGAAATATTTCAAGAGAATTTTTCAAAATTTGTAACCAAGATGGTTTGAGTCTTCTGAGATGGTAGTTAAATGTGTTCTGTGTTATTAACTCTTAACATTGTGTTGAAGATTGCTTCATAACATGCTAAGACTATAATAAAGTTGGTAGAATTACTGACAATATGTAAAGTAAAAGGACACAAGTGCAACTAATGTGACATTTATTGTGGCAACGTTTCGCTCTCCAGGAGCTTTATCAAGCCATTACAAACAATACAGGGACACAGAGGGTATATAAAGGCTCAGAGTGAGGTGAATACTAGTGAGGTACCATTTCGATGTTCACTAGTAGTAGTAGTAGTAGTAGTAGTAGTGGTGGTAGTGACAAAAGTAATACAATATGGTAGAGCAATTAATTCGTACATGAGTAAAAGGATATAAAAGCTATTACTTGGGTAACAAAAATAGGTTGGACAAATATAGAGTGGAAAGAGGCAGCTTGTTTCAGTGTTCACTCTCTGTAATGTGCTTTGTGTAGTATAACAGGAGAGACTATGTGATGGCAGGGTTTACTGTTTTCAGGAGGATTCTTGCTAAGACTTCGGAGATGGTGAAGCTGCCGTTGTTTTGTTTAATTGTATTCGAAACAGCGATCAATGCTGATTCGAGGCACTTGCGTCTGCGGAAATTAGTTTCTTTGATCACTAATTGGGCGTCTCTGAATTTCATGAGATGATTGGTGGAATTTCGGTGTTGTACACAGGCGTTGTTCAGGTTATCGTTCCTACATGCGTAAATGTGTTCATTGAGGCGGGTGTCGAGGTTTCTGGCTGTTTCACCTACGTAAATCTTGTCACAGCCTCCACAGGGTTATAGTGTAAACTCCTGCATTGACTGGTTCGTGGTGCTTGGATTTTGTCTTGGTTATATCCTTTATGGAAGTGCTAGAAGCGATGGCGACTCTGGTGTTAGCTTGTGAAAGTGCTTTTGAGACGTTCAGTGCAACCTGACTGTTGGGAAGAATTATAACTTTGCTGGGAGTGGTGTTGATGCGTGGAGAATTTATGATCTGAAGAGCTCTTTTCTTGCAGTCTTTGATGAAAAAGAAGGAAAATGTAACTCTGTGAATGTTTGGTGAATGTATGTACACTCCTCGTCAAGAAACTCAGGACTACAAATTCGGTATGCTCTTAGGAAAAACCCGATGATGATGCCTCTTTTGGTCTTGGTATCTTGACTGGAATAGAAGTGTGTGAGATCATTTTTATTGGTGGGTTTCCGATAAACTTGAAATCTTAGGTTGTTGTCTACTTTGTGAATGAGGACGTCGAGGAAAGGTAGCTTGTCATTGGACTCTTCTTCTAGTGTAAACTGGATCGCCGGTTCAACTGCGTTGAGCCTTGCCTGAAGATCCCGTACATCAAAACGTTTTGGAGTTATTACGAGGACATCGTCCACGTAACGTAACCAAGTGACGCTTGAAGGGATGATGTTGGCGAAGTGTTCGGACTCTAGGTGTTCCATGTATAAGTTGGCTAGGACGGCACTTATGGGGGACCCCATTCCCATGCCGTAGGTTTGTTTGTAGAGCTTGTTATTGAAAGAAAAACAGTTGAAATTAACACAGAGTTCAATTAAGTCTACAAAATCTCCGGGAGGTAGAGGAAGATTAAGGTCCTGATTGACTTTACGTCGTAGAACCTCGATGGCTTTTTTGGTAGGTACTTTTGTGAAGAAGGAAGCCACATCCAAACTGCTTAGTTTCTTGTTACGGATGGAGAGGTTACGGATGCGGTTGAGGTCACCTGAGTGTTTAAGATGAGCGGGGCTGATGGTCCCCAGAAGGCAGGAAAGATGTTTGGCAAGAACTCCGGCTAGTTTGTGTGGAGCACTGCCTATTCCTGACGTGATTGGTCTGAGAGGAATATTGTGTTTATGGGTCTTGGGTAAACCATACATGTGTGCTGGTTTAGGGTTGCTTGGTAACAAGTACAGAAGTTTCTTCCCTTCTCTAGTGCGTTTGAGTATTTGTCTGGTTTTGTATAGAAAATCTTTGGTGAGCGTCTCCCACTGTTGAGTGCTGATGGGTTCGTATGTAGATTGATCATTCAAAAGGTCCATCATTTTAATGTTGTAGTCACTGGTGTTGAGGATGACGACTCCACCTCCTTTGTCGGCGGTGGTGACGATAATGTTGGGGTCGTTGGCGAGGTTCTTAAGGGCAGTGATGTATCGTCTAGGAAGATTAGAAGTAGAAGGTTCACACAGTTTATATTTGTCCAACCTATTTTTATGTTACCCAAGTAATAGCTTTTATATCCTTTTACTCATGTACGAATTAATTGCTCTACCATATTGTATTACTTTTGTCACTACCACTACTACTACTACTAGTGAACATCGAAATGGTACCTCACTAGTATTCACCTCACTCTGAGCCTTTATATACCCTCTGTGTCCATGTATTGTTTGTAATGGCTTGATAAAGCTCCTGGAGAGCGAAACGTTGCCACAATAAATGTCACATTAGTTGCACTTGTGTCCTTTTACTTTACATGCTAAGACTATTTCAAATTTCATTAGAACAAGTTAAAGACCAGTTATGATTCCATCAGAAGAGGCTAAAGACCAGTCAATATTCCATCTAAACTAGTTTAAGACCAGTTGAAAATTAGATCCGGACCACCCCAAAATTAGGTCAAGAACAATTGAAGACTAGATAAATATTAACTTTAACATGTAACCTGATAATGTATTTTAGGATCAATCCTGAATCCAGTGTTAAAAATTGGATTGGAATTAGTTGAACCCGAGCATAAAAATAGACCAATTTGTCCAAAAATATCAGCAAATCCTGCAAAATTATATGCAGGTTGCAACAGCTCTTCAAAATTTGCAATAATGTAATTTTTAAATTAGATAAAAATATAATTTTAAATAGAAAATGTAATGAAACACTACGAATTCCACAGATTATTAATCTGATTATTCACCAATATGGAAAAATGGGTCGTTTTAGAGAGCCATACCAATAAGATTCAAGAAAAAAATATCAGTGTACCAAATGTTTTTTAACGAAACTACTGGCAAGGATAACGGAAGGAGCTGTTGGCAAGAATAACGGAAGGAGCTGTTGGCAAGGATAACGGAAGGAGCTGTTGGCAAGAATAACGAAAGGAGCTGTTGGCAAGGATAACGGAAGGAGCTGTTGGCAAGAATAACGAAAGGAGCTGTTGGCAAGGATAACGGAAGGAGCTGTTGGCAAGGATAACGGAAGGAGCTGTTGGCAAGGATAACGAAAGGAGCTGTTGGCAAGAATAACGAAAGGAGCTGTTGGCAAGGATAACGGAAGGAGCTGTTGGCAAGGATAACGAAAGGAGCTGTTGGCAAGGATAACGAAAGGAGCTGTTGGCAAGAATAACGGAAGGAGCTGTTGGCAAGAATAACGGAAGGAGCTGTTGGCAAGGATAACGGAAGGAGCTGTTGGCAAGGATAACGGAAGGAGCTGTTGGCAAGGATAACGGAAGGAGCTGTTGGCAAGAATAACGAAAGGAGCTGTAGGCAAGGATAACGGAAGGAGCTGTTGGCAAGGATAACGGAAGGAGCTGTTGGCAAGGATAACGAAAGGAGCTGTTGGCAAGAATAACGGAAGGAGCTGTTGGCAAGGATAACGGAAGGAGCTGTTGGCAAGGATAACGGAAGGAGCTGTTGGCAAGAATAACGAAAGGAGCTGTTGGCAAGAATAACGGAAGGAGCTGTTGGCAAGGATAACGAGAGTGGCTGTTGGCAAGGATAACGAAAGGAGCTGTTGGCAAGGATAACGAGAGTAGCTGTTGGCAAGGATAACAAAAGGAGCTGTTGGCAAGGATAACAAAAGGAGCTGTTGGCAAGGATAACAAAAGGAGCCGTTGGCAAGGATAACAAAAGGAGCTGTTGGCAAGGATGACAAAAGGAGCTGTTGGCAAGGATAACAAAAGGAGCTGTTGGCAAGGATAACGAAAGTAGCTGTTGGCAAGGATAACGAAATGAGATCTTGGCAAGGATAACAAAAGGAGCTGTTGGCAAGGATAACTAAAGTAGCTGTTGGCAAGGATAACAAAAGGAGCTGTTGGCAAGGATAACGAAATGAGATCTTGGCAAGGATAACAAAAGGAGTTGTTGGCAAGGATAACGAAATGAGATCTTGGCAAGGATAACAAAAGGAGTTGTTGGCAAGGATAACGAAAGTAGCTGTTGGCAAGGATAACAAAAGGAGCTGTTGGCAAGGATAACGAAATGAGATCTTGGCAAGGATAACAAAAGGAGTTGTTGGCAAGGATAACTAAAGTAGCTGTTGGCAAGGATACAGAAAGGAGCTGTTGACAAGGATAACAAAAGGAGTTGTTGGCAAGGATAACGAAAGCTGTTGGCAAGGATAACAAAAGAAGCTGTTGGCAAGGATAACAAAAGGAGCTGTTGGCAAGGATAACGAAAGGAGCTGTTGGCAAGGATAATAGAAGGAGCTGTTGGCAAGGATAACAAAAGAAGCTGTTGGCAAGGATAACAAAAGGAGCTGTTGGCAAGGATAACAAAAGGAGCTGTTGGCAAGGATAACGAAAGCTGTTGGCAAGGATAATAGAAGGAGCTGTTGGCAAGGATACAGAAAGGAGCTGTTGACAAGGATAACAAAAGGAGCTGTTGGCAAGGATAACGAAAGGAGCTGTTGGCAAGGATAATAGAAGGAGCTGTTGGCAAGGATACAGAAAGGAGCTGTTGACAAGGATAACAAAAGGAGTTGTTGGCAAGGATAACGAAAGCTGTTGGCAAGGATAACAAAAGAAGCTGTTGGCAAGGATAACAAAAGGAGCTGTTGGCAAGG